ATCCGACGAACGCGGAACGAATTTTGCAATTTTACGCTACCGATGCGGAGAAAATCTGTTCCGAGCTACTTTCGAACGCTGAATAATACATCTTCGATGCAACGATAGCGCGCAAACATGGACATCGACAGGGATGACAGACTACCGGACTAAAATAGATTTGATTGATCGATTGATTTATTTTAAACAAGCCGAGGACCATGGAGGTCTGTGACATAATTTTGTCTGTGACATAATTTTGATTACCAATGCGTAATTGCTTAATGCGATATAAATGCAATGCAATATAAATGCTTAATGCAGTACAAACCCGTACAGCAGCTGCGACCAATCACGGCCGCAGCCCCTGAGGACCTCCCTAAAATAGATACAGGCGTAATCAAATTTGCTATTTGTGTATTCCAACTTCCTAGTTATCGTGTTTATGTATTAGGTCACCCGTAATGTTCCCCTTCGCTCCAATTTTTGTACACAACATTTGTTCATAATACGCATTAGAAATCAATTGAGGCGAGCAAGTTACGCAGACCACCCTGTATATTTGTTTAAATAAAATAAACGATGAAAGAAAATGTCTCTAAAAGGAATTTGTCTCGTTGGTTGTACGGCGGGATTGGTTGGATCCAGAAGGGACCGCACACTTTGGAGTAGGGAGAGAGAGACAAAAGGAGCCGGAGAGAAGGGCCTCTCTCGCGTGCGTTTAAAATAAAAAGGGAAAAGGGGAAGCAGCGGGAGGTCGAGAAGGCCCGGGCAAAGGAGAGATACGGCCGACATGCCTGGAGCCGAAGAAGACCCGTCCGAAAACAAACAGACTGCTTCGCGGGGTCGTTCGTTATGCGTCCGTGGCATATTAATTATTTCTCGACGGGCTCTCCCTCCACCCATATCGCTCGTATTTCTTCCTTTTACATTTTTTCGTCGGTTGCCGCACGATTACAGGTCCGTGATGCGCGCGATTCGCCGTTAAGGCTCATCGATTCGAACCCTCGTTTTATTTTCGTAACGATGGAAAATCACAGCTTCCAAGTTCCTTTCTGGATTATCATTCGTTCGATATAGATACAAAGGAGGTGCAAACATGGTGATATTATAGATACAGCAGGGGAGACCCAGACTTTTACCTCTCTATATTTCGTTTTTGAGTTTCCACGCTCATCCACGAAAAAAGAAAAGAAAAAGTGAAGAAACTACTACCAACTATTTGGCTGTCTGGAAAAGTCCATGGCGATTTTTAGTAGGCGGTACAGGTCTGAATATATCGGAATGGCTGAAAACAAATGAAATGTGTACATTTCTTAACAGGTGAAAAAATTGTGGAACAAAATGGTACATATACGTATAACTCAATAAATATACATCAAAATTCAAATATGCCTTTGAGTTTTTCTTAAAAATAGGCATGAACTTTCCGGACAACCCAATACTATTTTAACTCTGCCGCGGACACGTGGTCTTGTTTACCCCGTTTTCATCTCCTCGATGAAGAGACTCGACTTCGAGAGCCACGAGCTCACTCGTATGCCAAGTTAAGAAATAACTTAAAAGTCGAGGAAGAGTGTCCTCGCCATCTTGGAGGAAACCATCTCGATGTCCAGCCTGAAAGAAAGGATTTCGCATTGATCGTGGCTACGCCGCGATGTTTACGTAATCTGGAGAGCAACGAGGAGAGGTTTTCCTAAAAACCCTCTCGCAAGAGTCTCTCGTCTCGTTCGGTCCGGAGGGCTCGTGAGAGTCGACCAACCGAGCCGTCGTGCAGCACAGCAGCGATGCACACAACGAGAGGGCCGCATGCCTCTCTCCATATATTCTCTCCACTTTAATCTTTCTTTTGTGACTCGGCTGTTTTAGCGTTTTTTATTCCCCGATGAGCCTGGCTTCGTCGACCAGAGACAGAGCGAGGCAAACGTTGCAGAGGGAACGGAGAGAGGAGTCGAGAGTGCAGGGGAAGGGCAGGGTGGGGAAAGGAGAGGCCCGCGCTGCAGGCTTATTAGCAAGAAGTCAGAAGAGAAAGAGGGGAATTCAAGAACGTCCCGCGGAGAGAGAAAGGGTCGTTTAATAGGGACAGGGGGAGGGCGAAGGGACGGTCCGAGAGACAGACGGAGCAAAGTCGCGGATAAAGATGGCTTCGCATTACCATAATAAACAACTGTACCTACTGCGGTTAATCCTGTACGGAACTAAAGTTCTTTGTTCGACTGACTCGCGGACCGTTATTATTATTAGGCGTACGCGAAATTTCTTCGCGAGGATCAGTGGTCAGGTTCAGGACCGAATTAAGGACATTAGGGACCACTAGGGGACCACTGTCTGTCACTTCTAGCATATAGGACCACGTTATCACAATAAACTGGAGGTTACGCTCGCACCTCCACATAATTAAAAAATGGCGGCGATACGGGGACCGCGAAAATGGCGTCGAGGCGTCTGTTCGAATCCGGATGGGAATTATTTCGTTAGGAAGTTGTTTGGCAGTTGAATCCGCAGTAGCCTGTGCAAGAAAATAAATTATTCCGTTGACCGAGAGGGGCGGGTCGGAACGCGATGGGAGAGAGGCCGAAAGACGACGCGAAAGGGAAAGAGTAAAGTCACGGATAAAGATGGCTTCGCATTATCATAATAAACCAGCGGCACGATGGTTAGTCACCGCGAACTGTTCCATGTCTCTTTGTTTATTTCGTGCGGCTCTCATTAACACACTGCGGAGAGAGAACTCTACTCTCTTCGTGTATTGTATATTTACGCAACGTCAAGCGGGGTCCCAGTGTATCGGGCGTGTTTCATTCGCCAGATTCCTTCCAGACCCTCCAGTTGAAATCTCTCCAAGCAACGTGTACCTCGACCGACTCTTTTTACACAAATTTCTTCCTCATCCCGTTTGGCCTTTATTTTCAGAAATTTGTTTGCTAAATACACTGGCAACGGCGTTTATCCCACCTCGAAGCGGTAGAACGTTGGGAAAATTCTGGGACCCGCGGTATCCTGGGATTGAAGATGAGTAAAATTTTATTCGAGTAGGAGATGGTACCTAGAAAGATATTAAATATTTGTTAGATATGGGACGATTGTTAGGTATGAGAGCGAATTTGCCTACCTGTCTGTAAACAACCAGAGCTGGGTAAAATACGTATTTTAAATAATAAACAGTAAATAAATATTTTATTTTGAATGATGCAAGTATTTTTAAAAATAAAATATTTTATTTGTTATAAAAAATGTTTAAGGTAATATTTCAAATAATATTTTATTTGAAAATCACTGAGAATAGTAGTGCCATAGTTCGGAATATTTTATTCATTTAAGTTATTATCAGCAAATAAAATATTTTTATTTTACTAAATTATAGTGTAAAATATATTTATTTCGTAATCTAAAACGAACAAAGTACTTTTCCTTTGAATTATAAAAATACATTCGATGCAGTTCTTTAATGAATACTTCTATTAAGAATCTTCAATAAGAATCTTCATCAAATGAGTGATGGAAAGAGATATTCTTCAATCGCAAGAAATAGTTTCTCCATCTGTGTATCATATTTACACAGTTTATTTTCAGCTATGGAAAGTATTCTATTTTATAAAAATGAAACATATTTTACTTTATATGTTAGATTATCAAAATAAAATATTTATGTTCGTGCTTTAACTATAGATTAACAAAATGAATTATTCTATTTTACGTTTTACCTTATCAAAATAAAATATTTGATTTGCTGAAATTTTATATCCCATTTGAAATACTATTTTATTTGAATTCTGATGAATCTATTATTTAAAATAGTATTTAAAATATTTTCTCTACAAATATTACCCGTCTCTGTAAGCAACTGTATCGAAGCAGGATGTTGAGTGTTGTGAACCACTGCGTAGAGAAAAATAGAAAACTATAGGTCGGTTTGGGAAGCGAAGGATAGGCTTGGTACACCGGCAGGTAAATGAAAGTGAGACCTGTATACCTGTTGCGACGAGAAGGGTATAATCTTTTATGACTCCGTCGGCTACTCATTAGGGGAGGCCGCCAACTATGGACGCTGTTATGCCTAGGACGCCGGAACGTGAAAATGACGAGCGTTCGCGGAATTAAATTGCACATCCACGAAATAGGCTTATCGAGTTGATAAATAAAGATGAGTTGCAATCAATTAACGGAGCAACCGACATATTGTCCCGGCTTCGTATAATTTCGAGTCATAATTAACATAATGATCGAGTCATTATATACGATACGGTACGACGATATGTGTCACGTATAACAGCACATTCGGTGGAGATAGAAAAAAAAGCCATGATTAAACTAATGCACCACTTCTTTGCAGCTATCTTTAAAAAAAGTGACCGTGCAAATGCTTCCTTGGACCACTGTATACGGACCACCCGTGATACTGCATCATTAATCAGCACGAGTCGTTCATTATCAATGATGACTGTCTCTATCAGAAAATATGCAAGACTTCCTTTCTGTAAATTAACGTCTTCTTTCGTTCTATCCTGATTTGGTATTATTATTATATACAGAATTTTTGTTTAGATATCAGGTCATATGAGAAAATCGAAAAATGTAAAAAACTGTGAGGAGATCAAATGTTTATCGATAGCAATACTTTCTTTCCTTCTATTGTATTCAATAACAGGCAGGAAAGCATGAGGGTACTCTGACCTCAGTTACGAAGCTCTCTCTCCTTTCGAGGACTTCGAACTTAGCACCGAAGATAGCTTCTTCGGCCAATATCGTTACGTCGCTCTTCCATATGCAAAGAACCGATAAGACATTTAATATTACAATCTTTTATTTTCACCGACGCCCCGAGGCATTCCGCGTTACAAACAGATGCCCTTGTTGGACTTTCGTCGATAAGCCTGCACGTGAAACTTTGACCTTGCTAGATTGCATTCTACGTGCATTTATCTTATAATAATAATAATAATTTATCTTATTATAATAAAATATAGATAAATAAATTCAACGTGCTGAATTGACTAAACGCTTCGCATATCTGTTCACAGATTGGGGAAACGTACGCGAAGTTAGGTGTTATTGCAATCAACCGGAATGCGTGTCTCAAGGATACATGTGTCGTGGCAGGGGCTGCTTCACCGAGTTACCATCTAACACGAATCCTTCGTTATTGAGAGCAGAGCACAGCGCGTACGGCGGCTGCCTTGACGAAAGTTACAAGGAGCGGCAATGTCCCACGGGATACCTCTGTTGCGAGCAGGATCTTTGCAACCACGTGGATAGTCCAGCCATGAGAAACAGACTCAACAAGACTCTTCAAGGTTGAACGATCCTTCTCTCTGCATCATCATTAAAATCGCACAGGCTTCAACTGGATGTAACTTTGAGAATAACGTTTTTATAACTGGTATCTATTGCTGGCTTCAAAATCTTTTCTTCTTTAACTCAAGAACTTCACACTCCATTTTTAAAGTTTTACCACCTGGTTGCCTATTAACAGGCTTTTTTTACCAGCGGATTATTTAACGTCCTTTTGCTTTTTATCGTAACCAATACTTTCTTCAAATAGTATTGGATTTATTTGTCAGTTGGTAAAGCGTTAGGTGCAAATAAAATGCACGAAATATTATAATTTAAATAGTAGCTTTTTCCAAAAACGTCATTCTAGGATCCAATACTCTCTCATAGAAGTTGATCGACAGTTTCGTTCACAGTTCAAATTTATTTCTTCGCGGAGAAGCTCGAGCCAGTCCACTTATTCGACGCACGGCTACAGTCTCGAATCGTTGATTTAAAACAATAGTGAAAGTCGAAGGTTGTGCGAATTTATGAATAATGGAGACTTCTTGCATAATTTATGCAACAAACGGTGTAACGAAAGATTTCTAATTGTTGCAGTGTTGGCGGGTGACCAGCGACCTTTCCTCGGCCCCGTGCAGACGGTCAATCACGGCGGCCAGTCGACGGACGGTTGGTTCAAAACTGCGACGATCGCTGTGCCGATTTGTGGTCTAGTCGTTCTACTGATATTGGCCAGCCTCGCCATTCGATTGCTTCAACCTGTACCGACGCAGAACGACAAACTCGGGCCACATAGAATGCCCGACAATGGGCCACCGTTATTAGGACCGAAAGTGCCTCTCGTTTGAAAAGACACCATCAGCGATCCAAAGACGTTCGATAAAGTGTTCTAGCGGATAGACATTAGTTAAGACTATCTGTAGAAAGCTAGCGGGCTTATGATGGCTCCACTTGGCTGTGAATTTTGTGAAAAAAAAAAAAAAGCGACTGCTGTAAATTATAACACTGCGCGTTGTGCAACGATTGCTGCGATTCCTCGCCAAACAACGACGCCACCGAATTAGTCGTCGTAGTCGTGTGTTCGCGAGGGTGTGAAAAAGGGCCAATATAAAGTATAAATCGAGGACCTTTGTACATGACTTTGTTAACGATGATAACGAAACGCATGATACCGCCTTTATTTGTAGCACTGTAAATAGATCATGTATTTTCTATCGTGTTAGATGATACCGTTTAATTAGGTGGCGTACGAGTTGCAATGTAATCGCGTTTCACGGATCTCGTCTACCTCTTGATGTTCGAAGACGAGTAATCTAGCCGCGAGATCGTAGCTGACGTTACGATAACAATCTCAGAGGGATTCACGTATAATTCAGCAATAAAAGCTAACGTTTTTTTTTCCAACGAGAAAACATATGGCGGATGAAAACGAGTGAAGAACAATAAAAGTCTGATATCTGTTTTGTTTATTTTTTTTTTTAATCATGTAGGTATCTTCCGAAAATGAATTATCCCGGTACATCATGTACTCCTCACACAGTAATCGTATTCCATATAAATATTATTATATTGTGATAGTATGGCATAACCGTGCGATAGTTATATTATTAAATATGTACCGCGACTTTGTTTTTACAACACGTGTTACTCATGAGGGATAAATTGATGCGAAAATCGCCTTAAAATACATTAAAACGATTTTTCAGTAATCGGTCTCTATTTATTTGCTCCTCTTTTTAATCAATTACATACACATACCATATCGATACCCGATATTATAGGAGGGGTATGTCATTACTCTGTAAAATAGGCATTCCATTTGATCAGCTCAGAAAATTTGTCTCGCTCTGTTCCGGAATAATAACCATAAAACGTTAGTATAATATAAATGTTTTGGCATCACAGTTTCAAATCGTACAATTTTCGCAATCCTTGTTCCGTTCCCTTTACAACGATCACTCAGCTTCATACCTTGTTACGCATTCACGGTACATTTCGTCTCTTTTCACGGGAGAAAATGTATTAATTTATAAAAATACTGTTTAAGGTATGTATCTCCATTTATATCTATATTTTGTCTTCCCCAAAAAATTTGGGCTACCAGTCAAGTTCAATTGAAAGTCGAGCATGACGTTATGTACCATCTATGTACGTGTAACATAGGGATACTAGGTTTTTGCTCGATCGTTTTAGTCAGTCGACCGTCACAACCCGCATGACGGGTTTCAGTTATATCAGTTAACAGTTGATCGTTTTAGGACAGAATTTCACCGAATGATTTGACGTAAGCTTCGTGAAGTTTGTGGATAAAATCTGGATCACTCCTCAGTAGATAGTTGAAAGCTTGAAGAAGCTGATTCCTTGTCAATGGTTCCAACGGTCTCGCCAGGGGTTCTGGTGGACTAGGTGCAGCGAACATCACAGGAGGTATTAACGCTGGTGCTGATCCTCTTCCCGATAAAGTAGGTGCCGTGATGATTTCATCAGATGCCTGATCAAATTAAACAAATATTAGGATGCTCGTATCGTAATGAATAATAAACAAAAAAAGTATACACCTGTATACATCTACTAACCGTTGTCGCAGATGCATGAGCAAATAAAGATGCAAGAGGATTTGAATTACTAGAGCCAATAATATCCGAGGCCTGATGATTCGTTGAATTAGATGTTGGGGACTGTATCCTATGAAATCCTGTTGTACCATTTGTATCCATAGTATTTTGATTGGTTAAAGATGGACCATCCTGGCTCATAGACACGGGTGTCAATATTATTGAATCTTGCTGAGAAGCTATCTTGCTCCGCCGCTTAGGTCTGTTCGAAGCTGAAGCGCTACTCGTGTTATTCGATGTCATTATAGCAGTTGGAGTTGATTGAGAATGCTGTTGTGTAGTCGGTTGAGGAGTTACAGATCTATGTTGCTTTTCAATATGTTCCACCGTATGGGCCGCTGGATGGGACATTAAACGTGCAAGTAAAGGTTTGCTTTCATTTACAACAGTACCACCTGGTGTGGGCTGATCTCCAGCTTTAAAATGTCCAGTATTAACCTAAAAATATTATAAAATGATATACTTCTTAAATTAATATATAGTATACGTTATATGCTTCTTAAATAAATACTAACTTTAGCTTTTGCAAAAAAGTCCATTACACTCTGTGAAGTAACATCTGGACCTAGTGGAGCAGTTAGAGGTCCAGACAGCTTTTCATTTATAGAAGTAACCAGAGGGGACTTGGAATCAAGCCCTTCCCTGGTACTTCCTCCGCTGCCACTGCTAGTTCTATTAGTATTAAAATCTTTTTGGGCTTTACTGAGCATACTGAATATATCTATGTTGTTTACATTAGGTCCAGAATTTTTCTTAACACTGACTGCTGGTTTGTTACATGCTTTGCGGTTTTCTTCTGACTCTTTAACAAGTTTGTTCAACATTGCACCGATGCGTACACACTCCTCTTTATCATAAAACCAAATGCCATAGATATTGCATCTGGAATTTCTATAGAGCAAGAAGGGTTCCTGAAGTTGTAAGTCTAAACCTTGTGTAACTGGTTCCACTAGGTTGTTTGTATTTAATCTGTAAAATATTATTGAAATAACAAAATAAATAGCTTGTTCATAGATTATTTTATATGGTGATAAATAGACTGTGGATATTTATGCAAATTCATATTTTTATATATACAGACAAAGAAATGAAATGATCTCTTATCTTCTAAACATAAATAAATTGATACATTTTTCCATATTTCCAATTGCCATAAACACATAAACTTCCACAGTCTAGTGATAACTTTTAACCTTCATAAAAAAAACTCTTAAATAGCACATGGTATATGATAGTGCATTACTTAAAGTACTACAAGACTATTAACATAGATTATTATATCTTAAAGTTGGATATTCATTCGTTTTACAAATCAGGGGTTTAAAAACGCTTTTTTCCTTGCAATAAGATCAAAGCAAGTTTTTATAGTATTCAATCATTCATCCAAACTATGCTTTTAAGATTACAGCTATCTTTACAAATACACTGACCAGTGAGCATAATACATATATATTCGATTCACAATTTACTTGGTGCTTCTAAAGTATACAACAATATACGTGAGCATTTTAAGTGAAAATATATATCTAATAATTATGTTACCTATTCATGATAAGAACACTGTTGTATGGCTCGCCATTTCGCGAGTAGACGAATAAAGCACCCTCGATATCGGTTTTTTCCCACTCGTTGTTATCCGCGTTAAAAGTGTACAGCGCTACGTGTGTCGCAGTTTCCAGAATATCTTTCACGTAAGGATCTACGCGCTTCAGAGCGGCCACGTTCATTCGTAACTCCGTTAGATCCGTCATTGTGTTCTTTTGCAGCTTGGTAGTGCAGCACAAAAAATACAACGTAACAATGGTACCTTTTACGAGTCGATCGTAATTCAGCTATGTCGCTCAAGCTGGTCACTTCGAGTACTATATTTTAATATAACGCAAGCAGCTGCTTGTATAATAAACGTCATACTAGATTTTATGGTTGATACCGTTTGTTACAACTGCGAGTTAGTAACATCATCACAGAATGCCGACGCTTCCTTTCCTTCTGCGTCGACGTCCACTTCCGATTGGTGCGGGAACGAGCAATCAGATGAGTCCAAATGGACGCCAAGACGAGAAAGGAGGGTTATCCAACGGTTCGTCCAATCAAATTTATAGAAATTTTGAAAATGCAAGCCAACATTACGTCGAATAATTATGTTGCAGTCCATATATCGTTAAATGTATATAAATGCACTTGACCGGAGCCCGGAGAAAGTTATTTTTAAATTTTCGCTTTTACGGTAAGTCCAGTTGATCGAGACAGAGGAGGCGCTAAAAGCGTTTCGTGGAGTAACGTTTTATTTTGGACGTTTATTACATGACTTCTTTATCGTTCGATTAATGTTATTGTAAAAAGTAGAATAGATTACCTAACGGTCTGGTGAATTTTAGTAATGTGCATATAGTTTGTACAGGGACGCTTACAATGATCAAACAAGGTATTACGCCATCTTCACAGGAAAAAAATTGACCGCGTGGTTTGGTTTTTGATGTTTTCTGATCGTCGCTTGAAACAAAAACTGACAATAAGTGTAACGCTTCGGTACTAATCTGCAACAGCCGTTAGTCGTAGCTTCTTTGTAAGGAAGAAAAGGATAGAGTCTTAATTTGTAATTGACTGTTTTGCCTCCATTGAATCGAGTAGTGTATCCATTACTATCTCCAACATATAACGCATTGTGTTCTGGCATATTTTATAATATGCGAAATCGAAGGACGATGCAATGAATAATATCATAGGCATGAAAAACAAAGTCCAAATTATAGAGGGAAATGAACTCCCGGATAATATTCAGCCATTGTCCCTTAGTCAATAGCGCCATCTGTGAAACGCGGTAAAATTGAAACGCATAATTTCTACTAAGTAAAGATAAATGTTTTGTATCAGTTTATGGAAACGTGTACTTTCAGTAAAAATTTCTCAATTATCTGACCACGATAATTGCAACATATTTTTCTTAGAGATCAATGATAATGCTACTAATTGAACAAAGAAAGATGGCTGAAGAACTTTCAAAGGTTGACCCTTCCGGCTATCGTCGCAATTTCGCGACAATATGCATCGTCCTTTAGGTCCGTGGATCAGCGAAGTATTACGCCATTTTCATAGAAAAAAAATAATTTTTAATCAGGGGATAAAACAAAACCTGATAACAAGTACAATGCTTCGAGGTCAGTCTGCTACAATCGTTATTCGTATTTTTTTTCAGAAAAAATAGGCAAAAACAACGTTTTAATTAATTTATAAGCATTTCACACAGTTGCTTACTCCGCATACTTTCAAAACTTCAAACAAACATTCACCCAATCGTCCGAATTTGATCGAGGCTTTCGAATGCGATGTACGAATGAACTTTACAGTACCACTCTAATCCACAGTTGTTGTACAACATTTACGATTTATCGATACATTGTGATACGAAATTTTCCGTTAATGTTCCGAATGAAAATCCAAATCGCGTGGATTGTGCACCGCTCGTAAAATAGAATTTTCGGAATATCATGCGCGCCAGCGTAGCGCATGGAAAAATTGGGTCGATGTGTGAAAGATGGCGGCCGTTGCGTGGTGTGCGTGAGAAAAGATTCGTACCGTCGGTTTTCGCTAACAACATGACAAGATATGGAAATGGCTGTTTACACGTGCAGAGCACTATTGTATACGGAAGGTTCGTAATATGCTTCTAACTGTTCAGATTCTATGCACCCGGTTCGCGTGAGGAACGTTTGTTTACGCGAAAAGTTTGTATAATACACTTCGCAACGCGAAGTGGAGTGTCGTAAAGGGAAAAAAGGGACTCCGTAGCGTAGACGAGACTGGAGATAAAGTATCGCCGGACTTCGGCCCGGTGAGAAGATCAGT